CCACCACTATTGGTGGCCCAAGTTGTACAGATGGACGAGCACCTTTCGGCCACGTGTGAGACGTATCAACGGTAGAAACCCGCTCCTAATGCAACTACGCCGCTGGCTAGCTTTCCAATACCCACTGGATGCTGACATATCAGGAGTTTGGACTTTGTTTTTGGCAACACGGATGTCGTGGTATTTGTCGACCGGTTGGGCAAGATGGCTCATTTGGCGGCGGTACCAGACACCATCGACGGAGTCGGTATCGCAACGCTGTTTGTAGGTCGTGTTTTTCGCTTTCAAAGTCGATTGTCTCTGATAGAGACCCCCGTTTCGCGGGAAATGTTTTGTCGACTATCTTTAAGGTGCTCGGCACCAAGTTAGATATGCTGACAGCGGATCATCCGCAGACTGATGGCCAAACCGAAAAGGGTGAATTGCGTCATCGAAGACGTTCTTCGCAGCGTCTGCGCTGAGACGCCAAGGCGCTACAGCACCATGTTGCCACTTGTAGAGTTTGCGCTGAACAATGCAGTGCATTCGTCTATTGGCTACACGCTGTTCTACGTGAACGGGCTGATTCACCCTCGTGTCCCGCTGACACCGCCATCCCATGGCTCAGGGCCTGGTGGGGAGGAATAGTCGAACGGCTAGCTGATGTCAGTCGCCTCACCGTCCGTTAAGAAGTCGATGACTTCTTGTCTACCACAGTGAGTGTCCTACGACACGTTCGCAATGCGACGGCTGAAAGCCAAGACCTGCAGAAACAATATGCAGATAAAAAAGGAAGAGACAGAGTGGAAAGCTTTAAGTTCGGGGACCTGATTTTATTAAATTAAAAACACCTGCACACACATGTAGCCTCTGCTATCTTCCGAACGAAGCTTCGTCCACGATTTATCGGATCGTTTAAGGTTGTGGCTAAACGGGGCCGGGCGGACACGCTGAACCTTCCGAAACGGATGCGCACCCACCCGGTGTTTTACGTGGACTTGCTCAAGCAGTAGCGAGATCCGGCGCAAGTGAACGCGGAGGCGCTGGCGCCGGAGCGGATCTCACGGGCCCGCGGCCACCCAGGAGTTGAGCAAGCAACTGGTTCTGAGCACGGAGTCAACAACCTCCATTTCCAATGAAGCCAAGCGCACCACCGTTGCCTGCAGCGATGCATTTTCTTGCTCCACGGCTAGGAGTTGCTTTGACAGAGAGCAATAGTCCTCAAGGCAAAGCAGCCGGCGCACGACGTGCTTTAAATTATCAAGAGCGTTATCACAACGATATGTTACTTCAGCTTGACGCTCAGCGGAGCTCCGATCACGAAGGACCTCGTCCTCAAGGGCTCGAAGAGCATCGCGAGTCACCGGACGGCGGTCGACCCGGCCGTTACCGCCTGCCACCGACTCTTCTCGATGAGAACTGTGACGTCCACTATCACGTGGGACGTCTTGTTGGACGACGTCGTCACCAGTGTAAAACCCAATATCTGGTCAAGTGGCGGGGATATCTCGACTCCGAAAAGTCGTGGGAGTTTGAGGCGCCACTTCGGCAAGATGCCCAGTCGCCGTGGACGCTTTTGATCGGAAAGATCATGACGTCCCGCGTCATCAGACGCCCCGTGCTTCCCGGCAATAGTTAGGGAAGTAGAATGGCCATGAGCTGAGCTCAAGCAGTAGCCCTGAGCTCTTGCGGTGGAAGACACAGAGCTCGCGGGAGCATTAGGGGTGAGCCCATACGTCACAGGGCGACAATTTGAAGAAAGTCGACGGCGTGCCTTGAGTTTGGCAAACTCGAATCGGAGGTGTCACTCCACACGCACATCCATTTACTTGTGGCTCAACTGCCGGTTATGCAGTGAGGATAGGTTTCAGTGCCGTTGCACTCATTGCTTAAAAAGCACTTCGTCATCTGTAGCGTTTTCGCCAAGGGCGAGCACTACAGGTATTTTCGCATTGCGGGCACACGAGAGCCATCTTGTTGAGTACTTAAACGAGTGCGATAAATGACTAGCGAGATTTCTTGTGGGACCAAGAAACGATCTCGAAGAGCTTTCTGTGTGGCAAGTTCATCATCCATACTGGCTGGGGGCCCGATGATGTGGACGCGTAACGATCGAAATACCGTATCCTTTGCTTTCACAGCGGGATCCGCTGGGCGGAAACCATATTTCACACGAGGGTCAATGACCGGCCGTGGATGGGCGCGCTTCAGAGCCGCCTTATAAGCTGCTTCAAGCTGCCGCCTCTGTTCCTCGTCGAGGTCATTGGTGATTACACCACGTTCCTCAGTTGACGGGAAGTCAGGGAACGGACATGGAGTCTGCAAAGCGCGAGCAGGGCTCGTATCACGAGGCTGGTGCAGCTCGCCTTCCTCGTCATCCCATGCGGGAAAAAGGGTGTCAGACTCATAGTCGACCACATCCTCAACGAGGCCACTCGGCACTGATAGCGTGCGCGGAGCTTGACGCTTGTGCTTAATGAGCCTAGGATATACACCCCTCGGTGCTGCGGGCGCATTGTCCGACATTGGACCGAGTGCGGGAGACGAAGTTGGGCTCTGCTCGTTCTTGCCGTCAGAATCAGCGAGACTTAGAGATTTTGGTGATATTGACACAGGGATCATTGAGCACGGAAGTCGTTTCGATAATTTGCAGTGTCTAGTGGACACGCGAGCCTCGTTGAGGCAATATTCGATTGGAGCTGTAAATGTTCTCACCCTTAATGGGGGAGGGTGTAACGGGGTTACACGTCCCTGATAACAGGGGTTTGTGTGTCACTCGAGATGTGCATGGTGTGACCACACCCAAACAAGAATACGGTACGGGGCTAGGTAGCCAGAAGTTATGAATTAATTTAGATTTTACTATATATTTTTACTATATTTAGGACAATCTAAACTTTTAAAACTAGGATAATAAATAAATATAAATCAGTTTAAATTTAACTGAAGAGTCAATTAGCCTTGAGAAAGCAATAATTACTCTTGGAGTAAGCGGATCGCGAGCCCGCTAACTCATACTTAGTTCTTGTAAAGAACGCAAGGTCGAGGACCTAGGATACGCTTCCTCATACTCTAAGCTAGTAGCCGCGCTGCATGACTGGCTCAAGTGGTTTGACGTCGTGATGCTAGATTGAAAGTTATGAGCCCAATTCCCACTAAGGATGGTTAGTGCGTGCTCAACCGCTATGGTTAAGACTGGATATGTCTGCGGATATGTCTGCGTATTAAAGTGTGTACTTATTTTAGATTCGCGCACAGACTGAGTAAGAATGTTCCACATACCTTAGAATGGGTTGGTAGCTTTGAACTTAGGTTTAGTACATTGTGTGGCCTGCAAGGCAGTTACGCGTGGGCCCACACAATTGTGTGCTAGCGCGCCTAACCTTAATACACTCACTTCTGCATTTGCGCACACAAGCACACATCAATTCTACCTCTGCCCTTCCTATATCCTTGATAAAAACCTTTGATATCGACGCTACACCCGCTCCTGCAATCATTCAATTTCTTCCACAACTATGTTACCGAATTAGATTTTTTTCATTTACACTTCTAAGCTGCTGTCATCAACAAACAACATTTTTCAAATAGTTCTACTGCCAATCACTAGCTCCATCTGTAAGCTCAGTCAGATTCGAGGGCAACGCACCCCCACCGCTCGTTTCTAGCCTGAAATCCATTCACTCTCTATCAAATTTGTCCCCAGCATTCTCAAACGGCTAAGTGCTTTGCTTCAATTCGATTCTGTTCTGTTACATCCTCAATATGTTGCTATTGACGGCTCGCTGGAAGTGGGCAACACGCGGTCAGGTGTGCTAACCGATTGAAATGTTCCTCCGTAAGTGCGTGTATACGGATTGGCAATTTTAGTTACATTTGGAAGCACTAGTAGTCATTCGGACACCTACAATTTTCAAAGATTCATCTTTGGATACTTTAGAGACCACAGGCGGTGATCGCCCTCAGATCAACAGGTAGGAATATTCGTTCCTGACATACTCGCAGTGGGAGTGTGTGGTGAAGCTGCGAGCATTAATCGGACATCTCGCGGGCTCCGACATGTTCCAAATAGATCCAGGAGCAATGAGTCAACGCTTAGCAGATTTTGCGTATATGTAAGGATTATTGGGATTTTTACATACGTCACCTCCATCAGAAGTGGTGGTAAAAACGTCGGTACACACGGAGCATCCCATGAACATCAAGGTAGAAAGCTTTTACGAAAACGAAGATAAATTTTGGCGATTTGGCAGCAACAAATGGACATCGCTATCGCGATGGCCCCAATTCGTGATGATCGCAGTCAAGTGGTCTTCGCCATGTTGCATTTGGATGGCCATGCGAAGGATTTGGCGATGGCATGGGAAGTTGACCGCCCCGGCTACATTGCCATGTGGCAAAAGCTGAAGTTGGCCATGTAAGTGATGCTTCTTTCGCCGAATGCAGCTTTTCGATGTCATGCCGTCAAGACAGCAGAACATTGTATAGCTATGAGCTGGTGCTCCGTGGGGTTCGTGTCAGTAGGGCAAGCGGACCACTGCCAAAGGTAGTGATGGCCATTGTGGTTACGAAGGGACTCATTTTCAATCATCCCAAGACTGAATTCTTCTGACAGTGTTTGACGACTCTGGAAGATGTAATTATATGTGTATTGCGTGGAAGTGACTACTCCTACTGGAAACACGGAAATAATGGAATTCAGCACAGTGACCGTAGGCAGTAATGTCGCTGTTATGGATGCCACATCCGCCGTGATTGTCCATATGGAAGATGAACCTCATAATACGAATTTATTCGTAGTTGGTCCGAGCCATGTGGTACGAAAACCGCGAGGCATTTGAGAAGTTCCTATACCCAGTAGACGCAGGGCGATCTACTCAGTCAGCTATTTACTCTTGTAAATGTGGTGGTGGAATCACTCAAGAGAATTTATCCCTTAAAGGATCTTTGTCCTTTGTCAAAGTGGTTTTCTATAGCAAAGCAAATATGAAGGGCTACGTTCGTTTGTTCAGAGTCTTTATTGACTCTGGCCAGATGCGTAGCTACGCGTGGAAGCGAATTGTTGCTGAAAAGGATCTAGTGCTTTTGGAAGCACTAGATAGTATCAACTGCTTTATCTCAGCGAAGCTGAACACCGGTGCGGTGGTCACCGCGATAAAAATTATGGTTGATCTTCGACTGGAGGTTGAAGACTTTAAGTCGAATCAAGTATTTTCAGTCCTCGATATGAAGAATCGGTATGATCTAACGTAAGGTATACTGTGACGTTTTAAGCATGAGCCACGGATTAATTAGTGATCGAAAACGATTTGGAGTAGCTCTCCTGGCGTGAACAAAACCCTTGGAGGTAATAAACTCACGTTTACTATGCACCAGAACAAGCGTTCAAGCGCTCGGCCGTCATATGCTGCTGGTAATGAACCACACTTCATTAGTTCATGTCATGCAACTGACATTACCTTGGATAGGGAAGATACGAGTCGTATGGGATGGTACCGGGCACCACTTGAAAATGAATGAATCGTTGATAGACATAGCGATTTGCCCAACGGAAAGAATTTATGAGGAGGAGATGCCGGTTGTTGCCTCCCCCAAGACGGAAGTATGTTGTCGACATGTGTGTAGTGGAAAGGCAAACAAATCGACTGCAGTTGAATATGCCACTACTCCCACTAATATAGTGGTCGAGTGGGATTGGGAGTCAGTGGGTAAAACTGACCACAAAGGTGACTTTATGAGGTTGAGCACACACATATGAAGGAATCAATGGAATATGCTGATCGCACAACCGATACCTCCGCTTGGTATGCGATTTAAAGATGAGTAAGTCCAGCGTACTACTCACCAGGATGGAGCTGTAGCATGCAAATATATTGTGGGCGCAACGACTAGTTGCCACGCTGCAAAATAGATATTATTTTGGTACCGCAACTAACATTTAATGAGCTGGTGCAGCTTAAGGAAGTCACTTACGATGACTTCTTACACGACATCAACTGTGGTGGTATTGCGAAGGTCGTGTTGCTATAGTCGAAGGTCGATTCGACGAAAATACTCTAATCATCAGTTATTGATGATTCAGTTCTCGAAGAATTTCGACAGCTTGTGGAACCACGCAGAAATTAAAAGATCCAACTGTTTCTTAATATCCACTGGTCATGGAATACAGGGATGATATCCTTAGCGCAAATCCACCCTCTGGTCATCCACCCGAACGTGGAGTTTGACACGAAATTGATCATGAACTAGGTTCGAAGCATGCAGTACTTCGACGGCGGCCACTGTCGCTTGAGCTTAGTGAGTATAGCAATAAGTTCTTTGCTCAAAAGCATGCTGCTGGTTGGTGAGTGACGGCAAGCCCCCATACAGCGCGCCGACTTTTGTGTGCACAAACCAAATGCTAAATGACGTATTGTTCACGTATATAGTTGATTGCGCAGACGAATTCAGCTCAAACGCCGATTCCTCATAAGAATCTCATCATCCACCGTATGTCCTGGTGTACACAGTTTAGTGTTTATTAAGATGATGGACGACACCAAAACTTTATGAGGGAGGAGGGCGTCCGTTGATGGCTGTTATTACACCATCCGGTATGTTATAAGCGTAGCTTGTGATGCCGCAGGACTGTCCAGTGCCCAGCTACGTTCAATCGATTAATCTTTCATCCCCTTCGACCACTGCGAAGCTTCACGGCATATTTTGACGATAATTTCGCTCATTTGAGGGACGAAGATGACAGATCTGCCGAAGAAATGCACTTGGAACACCTCCGTGGTGCTAGATTTTATGCGCGAATATTCTTGCAAGCGAATCTTGCAAAGTGTATTTTCGGTGCTAACGTCCACGGTTGTATATTGGCGAACACGAGGTTTGTGCAGACACTGAGAAGGTTAAATCAATCGTGAAGTGACCACGCCACGGAATCAATAGCATTTGAAGATATTGATTTTTTTCCAATTATCTGCATCGCTTCTCGCGTAACCACGCGAAATCGGTACTCCCACTATCAAAGTTGCTGAAGAAGGACGTAAAATGGGAGTGTGCATTCATTTGTGAAGAAGCATTCACTCAGATCAAGAACAGCTTGATAAAAGCACTATTTCTTGCTCTGCCAGATAACTCGACGCTGTATAGTGTGGTATGTGACGCTTCTGACTTTGCAATCGGTTGTGCACAATTGCAAAAAGACTCAGAAGCACACCACTGTGTCGTGTCGTTTCAATTGCGACAGCTAAAGCCAGCAGAGCTACCCTTTTTTTGACAAGAGCTTTTGGTAATAGTATATGCTCTGGTGAGGTTTCGTGTTCACCTCTTGGGTCCAACTTCGTTCGTCGTCTACATCGATCACGCAAGATTGCGGTATACAGTTCAGTCTCCTCCCTTTTCACAGCGGATGGCCCGCTGGTTGTCATTCAACGCTAAATATGACCTCACGGTCGCGTATAAACCGAAAGAACTTAAAGTGCTGGCTAACGCAATGTCACGTCGTCCGGATTATGAGCTAGCCCATGTTAGATCGAAAACGATGTATTTAATTTGTTACGTGGAGGATAAACAGTGTGATCTGATCGACAAGGCACTCTCATCGAGTGATTGGAACTCCATAAAAACACTCTGGACGCTTGAAATACGGATACATTCTAACGCATTGAAGCATGATCTTTATCCCTATGAAGTTGCATATGGCGACGAACCACAAATTGTGACAACGTAAATTTGAAGTACAAGGTCGTGCACGAGACGCTAGATACGCCAATGGTTGGTATTTTTGGCCGTGAGATGACCTACCAAAGCCCAATTTTGGTGGCTTTGCATGTACAAGTTGGTTGAACGATAAGTGAAGACGTGCGATGTCTGTCAGCGCGTGGAGAGCGCACAGCATACACAAGTGCCACGACAGCCCCAGTTCGTATTGAGTATTGGAAGTCAGTTGGACTCGACATCATCTCGATCTGCCTGAGAATGGCGATGGTCATAATAAGTGCTGGTAAACGTAGCGAGATGGTTCGCATCGCTCCATGTAGTAATGTCATCGATGTCGAAGGTTTGGCTAGATTGTTCATTGATCAAGTTTTTTGCAATCACGGGTTGTTAGACGCCATCGTCTCTTAAAGTGGACACGATTTACTAGTGGATTTTGTAAAATGTAACGGACCAGCTATTTATTCTGTTACTCGCGTAAACTACATTGTTGAGAAAGCTCGTGATAGAGCGACTTAGTTTTAGGTTGTTGAAAGATTCAACTCTTTATTTCTGAACCAGGGCGAAAGCCCCAATTGCTTAAATACACGGCATCGACTAACTGGCTATTAGTTGTTTTGGCTCCCAATATATCAGCCAATTAGATTATAGCAAAACAGCGCACGCTAAACGCGCCTACTTATGAAAAACAATTTACCTGTTTGTGTAATAAAGGGGCCCGTTACATCACCTTCCCGCTTTTGCATCACTAGCGCGGACGGAAAGTATTGAAGAAGATAAGTGAAACGACAGCAGGGACGGTAATGATGGCGGTGACCATGATTGGACACCTTGGCACTGGTGCTCCAGCAGGTAAGCGGTCGTGTACTGTAACCTCTAGTGGCAACGTGAAGACGGCTGGAGCTGGTGCCGTCGTCGACGCTTGTGAACATCGACGTGGTCTTACGGGATATCTGCCGAGGCGGCGCTTCCAAGCATTTTAATGCGCTCCACGCGCTGATAGTTCAGGGTTTCGACGTGTAGTCCGAGTAGGCAACGCCATTTGTTCCCGCGAATGCTGGCGATCTGTCAGTATGAGTTTTAGCTCGCAGTCCCATTGAGACTATTCTGAATTCGTACGTTCATCAGTAGGATTTATACGGCGAAATCGCTTCGTGCTGAGAAGACTGGAACCAGGACGAGCGGCCAACAACGTGGAACATCCACGAAGTCCAAATACTCATGGCGCTAGATCCACATGACGCCAGCCGCTCAAAATTTTGAACGCCAGTATCACTTGCAGCTTCAGCGAAGAGTTGCAATGAGGACTGTAAAGTCAGAAAACGGGTATCTTGCGGACTTGGACGTCACTTGTATTACTGCGAGCGACAGGAATATGAGAGATGAGCTTGAACTGCTAGAAGCTCGCGACTTGCTCACGCGACGTCGAATTACTGACGAAATGTTTTGCTCACTCACTCAACTTATCGCTTGGACCATACACCGAGTGGTGCAGTGGTACATCGGCGGAATCACACAACGATGGTCACTGGCTCGATCTCAGCGTCGACTCCAAGTTTCTTATTAGTCAATACGGTGGACATCTCCGCGCACGCGCAGAGACGGTTTACCTTCGTCACTCACACGTTAGGACGTAAGTGTTTTCTCGTACTCGTCCACCACATCTGGGACGCCTTCCATCAAGCTGTTTAGCGGCTCGCAGGTGTCTTCTGCCGAGGAGTGTTGTGGAGATGCAAAAGTGATTCGATCGGGATTCGGCTCGCTATGGCTACCTCTAAGCCAACTCTAGTACGGTCCGTTCCATCATGATCCAATCAATGGACAGATTATGTACATGTCATATGTAGTTTATGTAACACTCAAATACAAACACCTTATTGGAAGATTGTCCAGCCAATCACATTTTGCCGGTGCAGGATATCGTGAAACGTTGCAATGTGGCTGAAGTTTGTGAACATTTTGTTGATATCGAAGCAGTTCCACGAGCAAGTCTATTTTTCACACGCGACAAATAATATCATACGCATACATACTAGTCCACCTGTCGGTTTCGCTTTGTGGATGACATCATACGCAAAACGACATGTGGGTAGGTAAGTAGGCTCACACAGCAATGAGCGCCTGCATCCTCAACCAGCATGACAGCTATGAGGGAGTTCTTTTCGACACAATGTCCGACTCTGACGTCAGGTTTTTTCAGGCTCGCGTCGAGTTCGAGATAATCTACTCGCATCTTTGATAATCACGGGTAACGCTTAAACATCTTAAGTCAGGTAAGCAAAGCTAAAAGTAGCCGTAAGCTTACACTTGGAGCAGCCAGATAGCTCCTAATGGCTAACGTATGTTCTTAAATTTTGCAAACTTAAGCTTCAAGAAAGTTCCATCTCATGTTGCAAGTTGCCATTGTGCACCGTACACAAATTTGTGACGTGACGTCACAACACCGCAACAATAATAATTCACGAGAAAGAATTAGCGTTCTGGTAGCTAATTTTTTATTTGCCGTTCGGCGCTGCGAGTAACATGGCATCGTTTAAGTTTATGAGCCCAAGCGCTTTCAAGCCCAACGAGATAACCATCGACGACAACTACTACCTATGGGATTTTAACGCCCGGATGGCGTTGGCCAGAAAGGGGCTACAAGGACACCTCGGACTCATGAAGCCAGAAAACGTAGCGCGCCATGAGATGGAGGAGTGGAAGGCGATGGTTATTGTGGCCCGAATCCTGAGTCCAACCTACCAGTCGATGATTCGTGGCGCGGGCTCTGCGTATGACACTTGGGAAATGCTGCGTGCTTTCTTTGTAAAGCAGTCACTTCATAAACGTGCGCAATTGAGGAAAGAGCTGCATGTATTTTCGCTAGGCACGGGAGGAGACCTGATGAAGTACATCATGACGCTTGATGATCTGAGTTCGAGAATGACTGCGATAGGAGAGGTCGCGCCTGAGGACGAAAAACTCGTCGTTTCACCTGGAAGTTTATCCCAGGAGTATGATGCAATAATACGTATTATCGAGGCTCACGAGACGGTGACGTTGCTGGACACAAAAGAGATGCTGTGCCGTGAGTTCGAATTGGCTAAGAAGAAGCAAGCATTCAAGGCCTCAATGCTCGAGCAAGGGGTCAAGGTGGCCGTGGAGCTCGTGGAGGCTACATTGGTCGTCGTGGACAGCACCAGAAGAAGTCTGGGCCAACATTTCGTGGGTATTGCTATCACTGCAATGAGTGCGGTCAAAAGCGTGACGACTGTCCTGAAATATTAGAGAATGAGTTTGTTTTCTCGGCAACAATGGATAATTTAGCAGGAGAGGTAACCTGGCTGCTTTATTGGAGCGAGATGACACATGACGGATGAGAAGCTGGAATTTGTGGAGTATCAAGCCTTTAAGATGCCAATCATCATCACCATGGCTAGTGAACAGCAATTGCTAGCCAAAGGAAAAGGAGCTGTGCAGTTTGTTGCTGGATTTGCACGAAAAATCAAGTTGACGGAGGTTTTGTATGTGCCCTAACTGGAAGGAAGCTGGTGTCCGTTCCGTCGTTAACGGAACGTGGCGTTGTCGTGCACTTTGAGCGCGATCGAGCGACGCTAGTGAAAGATGGAAAATTACTAGACGTAATTCATCGAAAGGGTACGCTGTTCATGTGACATGTACAGCACCTGAAGGGAGAACAAGCCGCCCAGTAAGATGCTACGATGCGTGGAGGTAGAGATAATTACGACACGCCCAACTGGGCCATATTTCCGCACCGAAAATGCAAGCTGCTGCAAAATTAAGTGATGGACTACCTGGGCTTCAACATGAAGAAGACAACGTGATCGCTAATTGTGGTGGCTGTGCTCAAGGCAAGACGACAACGAGTACGATCGCAGAAAGTTCCGTCATTGAAGTCAAGACTAGAAGCCCTCTGGAAGTCGGACATACTGATGATATGGACCCAATGATGCCCAAGTCAAATGGTGGAGCCTTGTATGTGCTCACGTTCATCGACGACTACAGTAGATACGTCTACGTGTTTCTGCTTTCTTCGTGAGCACAAGTTTTTGATCGCTTTTGCGAATTCAAGTCCATCGCAGAGAACAAAACTGGCTACTGGATGAAGTGTGTTCGTAACAATAACGGTGGAGAGTACACCAGAGCAAATTTCAAAAGGTTTTGTGCCACCAACGTCATCTTGCATCAAACAAATGCTACATTTTCTCCGCAGCAGACTGGATCCGCGGAGAGAATAAATCGCACGCTAACTGAACTGGCCCGAGCGATCATGTATCACATGAACGTTTAGTGACACTGATGGGTTAGAGGCCGTGATGACAGCTGCTCATGTACTTAATCGTATCCCGAAAACTACGCGTCGCAACAAGACTCCAATCGAAGTTCTCACTGGCACGTATCTCTCAGTCGAGCACCTTCGAGTATTTGGATCTACTGGGTACGTGCATCTCGACAAGAGTAAAAAAGTTGGAAAATGCTGACGGCTCGAAGGCATACCGAGTATGGGACCTCGAAAACAAAAGACTGGTCAAAACGCACATGGTGACGCTAAATGAGTGGCCACCTGCTCGTAATCACGATGTTGTTCTCGTTGACAGTGGAGATAGCCAAACAAAGTACGCGCACGAAGACGACAACGACGAGTTGAGTATGCCGACATGTGCAAGTACAGCCACTGCCACAGACATAGCGATCGATGGAACCTATGCGTATGGAGGTAGATAGCTCTGTTGTTCCAGCTGCCGAAGTTTTGTTTGAGGGGGGGGCTCCTTGAGTGTTTCTCGCGCTGTCGCTGACACTACATATGCAGGAAAAACTTCGTTAGAAATATACTGAACGAGAACTCGCACCAATGATACTAGAGCTATCTCGTCCAGACAAGTACCGCTGTTACCTGCCCCTACTCGTGATATTTTAAGCTCCAGTACAACCCAGGCAAGTAACGTTTGGTGATGACTGCTTGGTGCGTAGCGGTGGTTCAAGGTTTAGGCGCGGACCGTGTGTTGAACAGACACGGCTATTGACCAACGAAGATGGAGCTGACGACATGCCTCTGCTTGCAAATGAGCCTCATGTGAGCTCTCAAGACTACGGTGTGACTGAGAAATGGACCTCAAACGTTGATGAGTAAGAGATCGCATTGACAGCCACTGAAGTTGCCACGAGCTATGCAGAAGCGATGGCATCACCCGAAGCCAAGCAGATGAAAGAAGCTATCTGCAAAGAACTCATGGTGCACATTCGCAATCACACTTGGGATTTGCTCAGGCGCCCGCATGGTGCACGAGTTATCGGGTGCAAGTGGGTTTTTGCACACAAATTTGATGAGAACGGCAACATTGTCTGATACAAAGCTCGCTCAGTGGCGCTTGGCTGTTTGCAATCCGCGGCGTGACTACTACTACACGTACTCCCCGTTGGTAAGCACCAATACTATTCGTGCGTTCCTTGTGGTGTGCTGCAGCAAGCGTTTGAAGATCCGACAGTTTGACATTAAAACCGCGTTTCTCAATGGAAAGTTTGGTGATTACGTGTACAAGGCCGTGCCACAAGATGTTCCGATTGACGACGGGTTTGGATGCAAGCTGCAGCGAAGTCTTTATGGTTTGAAGCAAGCCGCTGCAGTCTGGTGCAAGACTATTCGAGCTGCATTTGTTGACATGAGATTCATACAATGCCGTGCAAATCCATGTATGTTTGTCCGTCTCGTCAATGATGACAGGCCTTCTGTGTATATCATACTCTATGTCAGTGATCTGTTTGTCGGCAGATGCGATTTGTGCTCTACTTAGTGCCAGACTCACTGTAAAATCTCTTGGCGGTGCTAGATATGTACTCGGGATGGAGATTGAGTATGCACCGCAGAACGGGGAGTTTGTGTTGAGGCAGACCCGCTTTATCAAGGAAATGCTTGAGTTATTCGGGCAAACTGAAGCAAATGCTGTGCGTAATCTGATGGTGCTTGTACAGGACTTTTGCCAGACGAATCGCATGAGGTGTACAAAAATGATTGGAGCTAGCGAGAACTAATTGGATCTCTTTTGTACGTCGCCAATGCCACCAGGCTTGAAAATAGCGCTATTTGTTGACACTCTCGCAGTACCTGGATTCTCCATGTGAAATGCACTGGCGGGCGGCAGTGCGCGTCCTGAACTATCTCAAAGGCACGTCTACACATGGAGTGCGGTTCTGCGCTGGAACGAGTAATCAACTTATCATCAAGACTTATGCAGACGCTAATTGGGGAGGGGGGTGATAAGAGACGAGGCGTTCAACATCTGGAATATTTCTGCAACTAGCAGGTGGGCCTGTAGGTTTCAGGAACAAGCAGCAGAACACGGTGGCCCTGAAGCAGAGTATATGGCAATTGCTTTGGCCACGCAAGAGGTCATTTGGATACGCTACCTGATGGTTGAGATGAGGTTCAAGGCTGATGACCCCACCACGATTCGACTAGACAACAAATTCGCGATCAGTATGGCTACCAACCAAAATTTTACGCCTCGCGTGAAGCACATTGATTTACGAACTCATTTTTTTGTGCGAGACCACGTTGTAGGTGGACACATCAAGCTAGCGCACATGCCGACGAAGGATCACCTGGCCGAATTCTTAACTGAGGCGATACCCACGCCACACCTGTTGCTGCTACGTCGGAATAGCGGGATCAACAATGTGCAAGTTGAGGGGGAGTGTTGAGGTGTTGTGACGCCACGTCACAGATTTATGTGCGGTGCACAATGGCAACTTGCAAGTTGAAATTGAACCTTCTAGTTTTGCGTTAGTCATAAGAAGCTGTTTAGGGTTCTGGTAGCTAATTTTACTTTCCATTCTGCGCTGCGAGAAACAAGACATCGTTAAGTATACATCACTACCGCACCGTATCTCTGCCACACCAACTGCGGCCACCATTTCTCTCCTATCCACTAAATTGAATTACTAGATATGCAGCACCAACAAGAAGGGCTACAGTCAATCCATTGTGCTTCGCTGCAAATGTTTATTTCTACAGCTTTTTCTATGCATCATTCACAAAATAGGCGTGAAGTGTCTCCCTATCCACAAACATACAATGCCAACGTATACTTTGCACCAACGCATGCTCAATCGTACCTTGTACCTCAATTGAAGTGGATCATCGGCCGTCCATTCAGTTGCATCAGATACCGTCACAAGATGATTCATTCGCAAGTTTTTATCTTGAAGGCCAAATAATCTTCCTTTCTCAAAATTGGGGCTTCATTTGCCACACGCACCAATTTACTAAAAGTTGTTCCAACTGGAATTTCCACGATCTGGTGGGTGTCGTTTCAGTCAGTGACAAAATCTGCGACGGGATTTCCCGTGTTAACTGGCAGTATTAGCAGTTCTGGAGACGGGCAAAGTGGTCCACATGTCATATTATCTTGACCTGTCCTCTGAAATGAACGATGTGGCTTAGGGCCTCTGATTATGATATTGTCCGCTTAACAGGATTTCAATTGAGATTTTGTTGAATAGAAATAGATTCGAGTGCGGACGAAAATACGCGGTAGATGAAAAGGTCAATTCGAAGTCTAATTTCATCACTAAAAAGATTTAACGCGATGAGAAGTTTGATGTATCTCACGAGATCGAGATGCAGTCGTGGCAACAATTTGTTTTGAGGAGTTCGGGAAACGGTAAAGTATTGGAATGTGCATCGTCAATGATATTTCTGGACGGTAAACTGCATGAAAGAGCAAGTCGTACCAGCAAATTAACGCGAAAATGAGTCCGCGAGATACCTCAATAACAAACCACCACTCACACCATACCATCGGACGAAAAATCACCGTCTTAAAATTGTTCAAAGGTGACCTCTGTAGACAATATGGTAAATATTACGACGAAATGAAGTTCCTTTTTCGTTTCTTAGAGCCTACAGTGCTTTCAAAAGCAAGTCACGTGGTGATTGAGTATTTAGCGGTTGACGTGCAAATGTACGGGTTCGTAGTAAACTAGCGGATAAAACCTGCTTAAAGCTTGCTTAGTATAGCATGAAGTTCCTTTATCACGCTAATATGAAGTTTTTCGTGACTTTTGCGGACGTTCAGATCAGATCTGACCAGGGGAAGGATGCGCGTCTGCGATTGCGACGGTCACCAACGTACCGGACGTTGCTACTGAAAAGATCTGCGTCAGGAAGGTTGTTAATATCACTTCTTCAAACGGCATGACGGTGGCTGATAGTGTCGTGCGGGTGCTTTAGATATTCATTCCTTTATCGAAGGTGATGAACTTTGGTGCAGAAGACATTGCGAAGTTGTTTTTATTAAGCAGATCACATGCCAACTAAATGACAAAGCACTATCGTAACCGACGAAGACAGTGACAGTTCTGGAAGTATACGCAACTACTTGGCAACTGTACGTGAAGTTTGTCGAAAATTTCGAGTCACGGTTGACGCACCCGAAAAGATTAAGGTATTGGATATGCTATTATGCTTGTTATTTGACATACGAGTCCACAACGCTGACGCGCACAAATAGCATCCTCTACATCGATTTAAAGCTTGAAAAAGACTGTCCAGCTTTCGTGTTGTGCCGAACTCCAGATCTTTACAGCTGAGATGTTCTGTAACTGGCTGTCGAACCGCCGACTGCAAAACATGTCGGTAGTTGAGACGTAAGGAAGGAAGACACTGTGGTTGACTTTAACGCAATCCTGCGTATCACAATCACAAGTGACTTTGCCGAAAAAAGTTGGGCATGTCGCGTCGTTCAGTTTGCCTTAACACGGATGATTACGCTCAGCGGACATTTGTACGCGCTAGTGAACTCAATAGCATCGACATCAGTCCCTGTCCTCAAAGCGTCGCACAGTATGAGCCATGAACCAACACTAGCGAATCATTGACGAAGTATAAGGTCGCGCAGGTCATCACGACGCTGTGCGAATAGACTTAGTGAGTTTTTGAAAATTCGCCGCGTTTTTAGCAACAGAGTCGACCATAAATGGCATAACGATCTCTGTGGCACATCAATTAGAGCCGTAGTTTTTAGATGACAGTATGGCGCATGTTGCTCTCTAGTATTGTGCGAATATGATGAGATGCCCTCACGACCTGCGTGAAATGCAGCGCTCTGCCATGAGGTTTTCAACTGGGAAGAAAAAGCGACACTTGAACTTGTAGACATACTGAATAAAGCTTTAGTCGCGGGTGAAAGACGCGGACACATCCGTGGACCTGCTTCGATCGCAATAAAAACAATATGAATCAACGCACTCGACAATATCTCGCGCTACCTGCACAACACAACCGCAACGTGAAGATTGCAGCAGTCCTTCAAACAATCCAGATGACGCGAAGATTGAACTAACTCGGATTTGACGAGGTTAAACCGTATTGGTTTTGAGTTTGACTGCAAAGTCCTGATGCTATTCAATGGCGAAAGTTGCAATTTTAACATCCAAATACGTCGTCAAAACGTTTTTATTAAATCGATGATCAAAGTTGAGAACATTGAGCCCAATGTTGATGGCGCGACACAACATCTGAAGAATAAAATGCACGATCGTGAAGACCACCAAAAAAACTTGATAAATGATGAGAATGCGGTCAGATTTACAGATATCATTCGTTTAAAAACAATAACTTGGATACACCTAGTGGTGATAATCTTTCTGGTATATTGATACAAAACTATCATAACCTCTGCGGTCTCATGAATACTTCATCCACATTGTGTCGCAAACAAATCAGCACCAACAAGAAGAATGACAAGTTATCCGTTGCGAATTCAGGGCATTTTTTCTTACACTTCCATCTCTATTAGGCACGAGTTGTCTCCCATTACACAATACACACCACGTCAATACCACGTACTTTAATCGAGTGGTTCGTTGGTCGTCCATTCAGTCGCATCAACTGTCGCACGAGCACCACGTAATATTTTCAGATTATTATCATGCAAGGTTTTCTGTCGACTTTTTCTATTCAAAGTTACCCTTGCTTTCGTTGATACGAAAGGAGAACCAAATGCAATTATAATTTACTTGGACATTACGTGAACAATGCTTTCATTTTCTTGAAAAATGATGCGAGAATACAATAACTTTCGGCTTGTGGACCGCTCTACTTGCATCTGCAGAATTCTAACTACAACACCGCTAAAAGTTATAAGCATCCATGTTAAGCTATTAAAAATGATTTGGATAGCCGTTGAAGTTAGAAACTATAAACTATTTTTGTTGCTGCTGCTGGTCATCGTCGTCAATGCTGCATCCCGAGATCCTATTGCAACTGCTGATTTACGATATCGCGTCAACAACACAGAAACCCAAGCTCATGTACGCAACATCGTGATGTGTAAATATCAAACAAGCTTCCATGGGTTATTAACCCGGTCTCTTCGAATATGCAACTCCCAGTAACCCCACGGATGCCAGTGCTGCAATTCCAACATAAATCCAGAACCAACGCGAAGCTTTGCTGGAAGTTGAGCGCACATTGCCAGACATGGCTATAGACTTGCCAATCTCTAAAACTTGCGCCTCATCAGTGACCTTTACTCCCGCTTTGATCACTGTCTCCATTTCCGGTGAGTTCTCTACGGCACGTCGAAAACTTGGGCTTTTTCCGAGACCTTCTACCACAGCTTTTCCCTTAAACGACATTTGATTCGTAGCAGATTGGACTTTAGTACTTGTTGCCACTTTTGCACCAGCGGATCTAAAAGTAAAGAGATTTGTAAATGAACCTCGCTCTTCTTCGTTGGCTCCACGTTTTGTCAGTCTTGCACACTTGCCCTTAGCAGTGGAGGAATCGTTAAACTCTTGGATCTGTACTTTGGCGTTCACCGTGTCAAGATGCACAAATGTGATCAAAATCACAAGTAGTGCCAGCATAGCATTTCCATGCATGGGAAGAGATTGAAAGTATAAGCGCTTGATCAAGAACTCGACAAAAGAGAAATGGGGATTCTCTAACTCAATGAAATTGTTCCGAAAAATTAATGACGGGCGGACATTACACACTGTGAAAGAGTACGAGCTGAACGATCAGACGAAATTTGCTGTAAATTGTATATCACAATCGTCTGGAGCTAGCGCTTAGCTCTACCACTCCATTTCAACATGAGAAGATGCCATCGAACTTATTTATTGATTGATGCGAAACAATGGACGAGTTTTGTAATCTCGTCATTTGGCTCAAAACTCCATTCTTTATTCTAAACTTGTATGGTTGAAAACTTTAGATTTATTTACATCTGATAAATTAAATGAGATAGAGTACTAGATTAGTAGCAGCTTTTCGTTGTTTCTTGTCGCTGCAGCCAGTCCGACACATTAGGCACATTGTTACAATACAACAAAGATCAAGGTTTCTGAAGGATATTAAACCGAATTGTGTATTACTTCAAACTCTATCACTAGAACTACCTTTCTAAGTAAAGTTTGTGAAAATCGATACAATAAATTGTAAGTAAAGTACCTCAAGTATTTGTAAGAAGTGATGATTGCATGACCCTGACAAACGCATTTCAGTTGCATTGGATGTACATGTCAAAGCGCGAAGAGAGATTCTTTGATTCTGTGCTGGAATTAGTCGTTAGATTAAACAGACAAATAAAATTGTGATTGAAATGCATTTAGTCTCATAGTCATCTACAAAATCGTACAAAAGGTGATTACAAAGATCTTACATCATAGTCTGGAGCTCCAACAAAGTATTGCGGTTTAAAAAACTGCTATTGTCCACACGAACATATACGTTTTGAATTCTATAATTTCAATCGATCAAAACAGCGACACAGAGGTTACACTTGGCAACGACATATGAGAGATCTTTACCTTCGTAGCTGTGCTCTCTGCTCTGTAAAGTCGTATCCATCCGTATTTTGTAATGTGTAAGTAGCTGATAATACGCTGCATTTTAAATCAGTCTTTTGTAAATGGACTGTGATCTGGGTAGCATTGCCCGAACATCTTGTCAACTTGATCTCGGGCTTCGGCAGGGAACATGGACTGTAATAAAAACAAAGTGATTTGCTACGTGAAGAGGATTCGAAAGTCCTAACAATTTTAAAATGCTTTACACTGGTCGAACGAATAGCATGCTCACGAACACATCGCGTATTCAGCCATTGTGTAATTTCTCGAAAATACTTCACATCGGGCAGCAAAGTTGCCAGCAATTTTGCCCTGTGATAGCACTCGGACTCACGCGCTGATCGAATCTCACTAAAAAGAAGCATGTAAATAATTACTAAAATGCTTTTCACACTACATCAAAATAGTGCTTTCACCTGCAAGCCAAGAGATCCGACTTTGTGATATCCATCTTGCGCACCGTAAACTACAAAGAGAATCATATGACTCCACTACTGTGACTAGTCC